TGAGGACAAGATAAAATTAGAAAAAAAAGTTAACATCAGTTAGTTTTAAATAAAAATGGATAAAAAGTGAAATTTTGGGGCTTCATTTTGATAGAAGGTTCTCTGGAAAACTTCACATCCCAGCTTGTAAGAACTCCACCCTGTAGATCTTCATGATAGGTAATTATTAGGGTATATATGCCTTGGTGTTACATTGCCTACCAAGCCTGTCCCTGCAGCTAGGTATGTGATACCAGTTTATGATGCCCAACAGATGTGATTTTGCTGTGTGCATAGGAGATGACAGTACCACAATATTCCATGTATAGCTATGATTAGGGAGGGTGAATGTGGTTCTCATAGCATCTGTAAATATCCTTCAGGGGGCTTGCCTTAGTGGACAGCTCCCTCGTATGAACCTCCACATTTCTGATCATGTGACTGCACCCCATCTTCCCCAGCTTTGCATGTAAACTGTCAAGGCTATCTCTTCCCATTATTAGTCTATGTATCTTGCTGCCTACACTATCTCTGGAGGCTGTACAGGCAAGAAACTGGTTTTGTGATTTGGAGTTCTGTTTATAAAGCAAGGGTCTGTGGAAGCAAAGTAGACTGTGGCAATTATAAAGAATGAGACCAGGATCTCTAAATTGGCCTGTAGCACATCTATTTGCATGCTTCTAGGAAAATACCATATTGATACCCCATCTGCACCCATATATTTTACTTGACTATGGTTCACCTTTTGTTACACCTCTGCTCCTGTGTTTACACTGTGCTAGTGCAAGAAATGGAGGATGCTGTATGAAGCCACTGGAGCATATATCCTTAGATATGAAATTAGCTATGAAGCTGAGCCATCAGGACTTAAGGCCTTTTCAATATCTATGACCTTTACTGTGTCAAATACAGGTATCAATGTAAAAATATTGAAAACAAAATTATTAAAGTTGCATTATGATCAAATGAGGTAATCACTTGTGAAGTATACATGCAACCTTGGAAAGTCGTTACTGTTCCCAACAAAGGTAGGAAAACTGAAAAAGGAAATCCCAGAGGAAATGCTGAGTCATTGCACAATAACTCATGCTCTTACGTCCTCCCTAGAGCTATTAATTTGAATCTTGAAAATATAGAAGGAACCGTTTGTAACCTACATACTGATAGTTTGTAATTAATTTCTGGTTATTTCCTCTTGGATTCAGCATAGGCATTCATCACTTTGTGATCAAAATTCTGAACAAATTGTTTACTTGTAGAAGAGGTGTGTGGCAGGTTTAGCATGTACAGATTTAAAAAAGTATTGTAGGGATTTCTCTATTGAATATCTTTTGACATATTGGCAATATTATTCTCTCTTTTTTTGTAGGTTGTAGAGTGGACCTTGGAGTTATTATGATGAATTGTTGAAAAGTCACAGCTGATCAGTCCATGATCCAGAATACATTGCAGGTCTTGCTGCGAGGTCTTCTGGATCGTGGTTGATCAGCAACTTCACCATTGCCACAAAAATGTGCAAAATACCAATGAATAACATGTTCAGATGGTGCTTTACGAACACCAAACTGTCGATGGTAGGTGCACTGAGCTTCAAAAATGGAGTGTCTGTTAGAAAAGTAAAGCTCCACAATCGCTGCATGTTGTTCAACTGTCCAACAATTCATCATAAAACTCCCAAGGTCCACTCTACAACCTACAAAAAAAGAAGAATATCGCCAATATATCAGAAGTTATTCGATAGACAAATCCCTACAATACTTTTTTGACACTGTACAAGAATAATTTTTGCTACCCTTTGTCTTAATCCCAGCATTTCTCCATATATATTGAAATCTGGAAGACAGAAAAATAAATAATCATTCATCGATTATATTCATGCAGGAAACCAACTTCCAGCACATGTAACAGGAAGAGGTACGCAAGGCTTTTTTTCCCCATGAAAATGTCAACCCGCATTCCTTATTTAGAGAATGCCCTCTGCGGTAAAAGCCTGAATTTTCCCCATACATTCAATCCACCACATAGCGAAAAGTATATCTCTAGCTGTATTTGCATCCGATGTTTGAAACAAATCCATGCCTCCCTTCTGATAAGAAGATTTCGAGGAAAACCTTCCCGCCAACGAATCCGAGATTCTGCTGACGATATTGAGATTCCACGTTCCCGTTTCTCTTGGGAGAGGAGTGGAGAGTATCTTTCCTTGGAAATGGGATTTCTATGTCAAAACCGAATCCCAGAATGCCTGATGCGACGCATTCCTCGCGGGCGAAAACAGTTTTCGACTTCCTGGGGCTGCAGTCGCTTTTCACCGATTTGCCTCAATATCTTAAGGAATGCCATAAAAATGTATCAAACTATCTTAAAGCGAACCAGAAAAGATATGAACGATTATCATCATCTTGATATAAACTGTAAGGCTTCACTTTATTCAGATTTAGACGCTGTGATGGATGATCAAAATTCGGGAGCTAAATCACATCTAGGTATGCCTCCAGCTCACCTTTCTCTTTGCCACCAAAAGCCAGGGATAGAGAGCCAGTTTGCGACAGAGTTTATCTGTGTGACATCTAGTGGCTACAAGGGTGCACGTTATGGGACTTTCTGGATGGCGGTGATGGCGCCAGTGCATGCTGTACTTGTCTTGTGTTTATCATGACCTTCATGGTAATGAATCACGGAGAGGGCGACGAAGGGAGGACAAGCTGAGTAAATTATTATACTGTGAACTGCAACTGTACGTGTGAGAGCCTGGAAGACGTGCTTCTTGACAGTTTTCTCTGTGAATAGGGATTCCCAGTCGAAAGTGCATCCGGTAGATATGCAAAGATGAGCAATTTTCACAAGAGTAAGTTTTATTTCGTTAAATAACTTACGGAAGTTTGAAATTGACATTGTATCCTGATTATATTTCTTAAGAAAAGCTTTGAGGTATTTTTAATACCCCATTCGGGGGGGGGGGGGGAACTCGCGCTCCTTCAAGCTTCTCGCGTTGATGCATTCCTCTCTTTTTCCGTTATTTTGCACGAAATTCCTTACCGGGACCACAGCGAAATCCGTGTCGTTGGATAACCCTTTTTTTCCTTTTATTCAGTATACATCGGGCACTTTTGACAGGGTAATAAAGGGAAGAAAAGGAAAGATGGAAGGGTCTGTTCCGCCTGCTGCTTCTCCATGGTTATTTTTGTGGAATGATGTACTAAGAGTGACTTCTCCACTCGAGATAGAATTTCCGAAGTGGAACGGGTCAAGAAAACGATTTTGCTATTACGGAAATATCAACGTTAGAAAATATTCCCATGTTTCCACTGTAGATATAACCATTTCTTTCCCCTTTCATTACACGGAATTCCGTACCGCAATCATGACGAATTCCATGTCGTCAGATATACCTCTTTGTCTTCTTATGATACGACACATGACGGTGCCGGAGGGAACGGTCCTTGAGACCCTGAAGGAATACTGGAATCTGGCGGTGCGATAATGCCGACGGGAACGTGTAGTCATCTGTACTAGCATCCAAAAGAAACGTAACAAGGTAATTTAGGGCTCGTCCACGCAGCAGGATTTGTGATGGCATATCTGCCCTTTGCCGAGCAAGTCAACACCGCCTGAACATTATTAGCGTGTACTCTCCCGTCATACCGTCTCCGAAAAACTTCAGAGATGTGCCGAGGCTAACGCAGCAACAAAGAGACCGGGCGATTAAAATGCTCCAAGAGGGTGTTACGCAACAGGCTTTACACCCTCTTGGAACAAAACGGCAGAACACTTGACCTTGAGAGATTTAGCGATTTTTAAGTTAAGTGTTCTGCCTGTTTTAGTTTTCTGAACCCGGTGTAGGCCACACGAGCACATCCGAATCGCCGCTCGCACTCGACTTTCTGTTGCGTTACGGCCCTCTTGGAGCATTTTAATTTGTTGCTGCGTTAGCCTCGGCACATCTCTGATGTTTTTCGGAGACGGTATGACATGCACAACGGAATCAATCCATTTTTACCTATGGAAATCTGGACTTTCCACATGGCTTGAAGTTAACCTAAATATGCATATTCGTAACGTTGCGCGTGCACAGCGCTCTAACGTTGAAGAGTACACGCTAATAATATTCAGGCAATGTTGACTTGTTCGGCTAAGGACAGATATAATGCCATCACAAATCCTGCTACGTGGGCGTGCCCTAAATTACCTAGTAAAACGTTTCTTTTGATCGCTAGTATATTTTGTGAGATAATGCTGCAGTCATCCGCTATTCTATTGCCAGGTATAGGAAAGAGCGGAGGGATGGTGTAACACGGGAGGAGAGTTGATCATGACTCTTTGCGAAGCTGCCATATTGGCCCGTAGTAGCGACAAGTTGGATTCACGTTTTGCGGATCCAAGCCCGACCCTACTCGTCGTCCGAAAGTCCGCATCTGAATCTGAAGCTGTGATCCGTGTTTTTTTTTTGCGCTAGTTTCTGTTGGAAATATATAGGGTGCTTCAGGTCGACCCTATAAGAAACGAAGAAGTATAAAATGTTGTTTTATTGTTACTATTGTTTACCTACAATACAAGATAGGTTCTAAATATTCATGTCATTACAAGTGGTTTACTTGCGTAAATGTTCAAACTGAGCTCCATCTGCATGCCTGCATCCAGTGTTCAACACTGCGGCATACTTTTGCACACAAATCGCGTGGGACAGAATGAATCTCAACCTCGATTTTCTCTAGGAGATCCAGTAGATCTTTGGGCTTCAACCTGTACACTTGTTCCCTAATGTAGCCCCAAAGAAAGAAACTTCGACGTGCTTCACTCACATTCTTACCACGGAGATACACCAACTTCAACAGTTTTATACGTTACTGCTTGGACAATCGAAATGATCCACTTCCGCTATCGGCCATTTTCGTTCCCTTCAATAAAAACAAAACACTTCATATCAGTTACGGTTTTGCTATGACAAACTTCAAATACCAAATACAAACTACTATCATAGTTCCACCAATTTCCACATTTCTGGGGTCGACCTGAAACACCCTGTACTTTAACATCTAGTAAATCATCCATAGCATATCTTCTGTTTCTGTTGAGGTAAATATATAGACAGTGCTGGAAGCAATGCAAACTTGTTTGTGTTTGATACGCAAAGAAGAGGATTCAATGTCGCATCAAATTCACTATGAGTACATAATATAGGCATTCCACGTTGTATTTCGTAAAACCTGCGAACTTTTATGGTCTATGTATGTACATTGCAAATCTCCCATTCTTCCATCGTCTAATGGTACATCGATAGTGGATAAACAGGGAAGGGGGAGAAGTAATAAAACTCGAAGGAGATCCAATTCCAATATGGATTCGACTCTCCTAGTCGCGAAAATGTTTCGGATGCTCCGCTCCTCTGTTTTTATTGCCTTTGTCCTTGTCACGTAACTGTACAACTCACCGTAGAGGACTACGAGAGAGAAATGGAGAGGAGAGATCGATCTGCTGAAGCTGGGAGGCCTCTGCCTGGGCCCCATCGCTGCGGCTCAGAGCGCGTGCTTCCTATCCTGGAATACCCTTGGCCTTGGATCTTCGTGCAGAGCCACGAAGCGCATCCCTCCCCCCCTTCATAAGGCTTCCTCCTCCTCCTCCTCTTCTATTATAAGCAACTTTCGACCAGAAGTGCTTCCTCGTGATCCTCTCGAATGTGTCTTCCCATGGCCTTGGCTCGGTGCTTTGGCCCCCAACAGGAAGACAAGGCTATTCAATGCATCCCTCACTGTCCTCCCACGATTCCTCAATGTGGATCAGGTTCCTCGCCGATCTTTTAGTCTCTTGGATGTTTGACCTCTGATACCTGTCACGGTGTCATGGGCCTTTCTGTAGCTGCAGAACGATCAAGTCTTGCCCCTCGGACTTTAAAATAGCCTTAAAGTATTGCATACCTCTGATACCTTTTGCAACCCGCGTATGTACATGGTTTATAATTCATTTTCGGCTTTACATAAGTGAAATTTATGTGATGAATTGAGAAAATGTGATTGTAGTTCCGGCGAAATGAAATCTGCTTTCGTCTATGAGAACTGCATCGCTTTCAGAGACATGGTTTCTGCACGGAAATGCCATTTTCTAAAGAAACATGGGCTTTATTTTAACGGAAAGTAAAATACGACAGCTGAATTCTCAAAGTCGTCAGTGGAATCTGAGGTTTGCCGGCGGGGAAGTTTTTGTTATTATCGTGTTATCTTCAGACATGCATAAAGTTAAAGCAATCGTGCATGAAAATAGAGTTTCTTTTGCAGTATTTTCTGTTATAAAATGGATTCAATGTCCAAATTATAGCAATTTCGCTCGGACTGCTCCGGGGAACCCTTTTGAGGGGAAGGGATTTTCATTTTTCTAGCAAGGGAAGATAAAGAACCTCGTGAAAAGTTTAACATTCCATCTCGAATTAAGTCTGCTGGAAATCATTCTTTCTAATACTGGAAAAATGTCTCGCACGATGTCTCGTCGGTTATCACCCGTGCCAATGGTCGGAGCGTGTATCTGCATATGCTGACACGAGCCCTAATGCTTGTGATTTAACTGGTTCGTTCTTTTCCCAATTTTCAACTGAAGTGCGCGCGTGAATACCTATTCCTGTCTTTCGTGCCAAAACCCAATTTCCTGCTAGTATTCAGTCGCGAAGTATCGGTTTTCTGTCTTTAAAATGACAAAGTTTAAGGAGAAACGCTGGAGAATAAATAAAGGATTTCGAAAATGATCCTTTTATGCGCCATGCCTGCTGAACACCAACTTCTACGACCCCGACGTCCAGAACTCCGATTTCTCTTTGCGCAACGCCTATACTCATATTCCGTTATGAAAAACAAGGGGGAATCCACTGAAAATGAATTACGGTATGAAAGCGCGTTACAAAAAGTATACTTTGTATAATGTCGTGTTTAATAATAGTTATCACTAACTATTACATTCCATAAGTTGCACATCTGTCCCTACACCTCCCACACCAGGCCTAAGTTGCAGGTACAGCCCGTCCGGTCCCAGAAAGGACCAGGCGGCATGGACCCTTAATGGGGATGCCATTTTTTAAAATAACCTATAAAGAAACCTGTCACAGCTCAGTATGAGACTGAACAGTCATATAAAGGGCCACGAAGGCGGACTTGGAAGCCTTACATTTTTTTAGAAGTCGCATTTTGAATTATTTATGTTTTGGGATGATCTGCCCCCCATCCCTAGCCTGAACAGCACGCCACTGAATCCGCTCTCGGGCTGTAGGTATGAGTGACATTTTGAGCAGAGGAAGGGAAGGGGTTGAGGACTCGATTATGACGAACGAGCTACTTCAGCTTTCTTGATGAAAAGCGGCCCTTTCTATCTATAATGATTCTCATTATATTCTCTGGTTTTGGACATTTTACTGTGCTTTCATGACTGAGCTCTTTTGTGTCTCCCCGATGGTGATCTTTATTATTATTTTATTAAAATTGGCAGTGCTGTATGTGAACCTCATATATGGGAATACAATAGATTAACATCTGAAATTTATGAATTTGAAACACTCCATTTTAGTTCTGACAATTTCATTCACTTCATGAACTTTGAAAAAGCCACAAGAAGCAGTGGGAAGAAGTATGGGATATCTGGGATGAACCCTAAGACCCTGATGTACTGAGCTCCCAAACCAAATGAAATTATTAATCCTGCACTAATAGCTACATTCTAGTGACTCTCATGTGCAGCAACTTCTTATTAATTTTTTTGTATTTATGTTTCAGGATGTTGCAGCTGTTGCTCAGCCCTCCGTCCTCGCTACAAGAGGCTTGTGGACAGTATCTTTCCAGCCAATCCAGGGGTATGTTATAGATATACATAGTGTCGATTTGTTTCTTAACTTCTCATAAAACTTGTTCCTATTAAAGAACAACTGCAGTAAAAAAAAAGGTAAAAAACTTCTCTTAAATTCTGAAGTCTTATGAAAATTTTAGACCCCTTTCCCTATTTTTTTTTAGACATCCTCATTGGTTTATTGGTATGTTTTTTTTTTACCCATCTCAGGGGGTTTTGGATGTTTTCACAGGAGGGGCTGCAGAAGAACAATATGGACAAGCTCACTTTTTATGCCCTTTCTTCACCAGAAAAATTGGATCGCATAGGAGAATACATAGCTCAACGGGTGAACCGTGATATCCGCCGCAAGATGGGGTTTGTATTATGTCTAATGCCAGAATTGGGAGACCAATCAGAGTGAGCAGTCATCATATGGTTTTCTGCTTACAGGTTTGTGAGGATAGCCATGGAGGCCATGGATCAGTTGCTGTTGGCTTGCCATGCTCAGTCCCTCAACTTGTTTGTTGAGAGCTTCTTAAAAACTATACAGAAGCTGCTTGAGTGTCCAGATCCTGAAATGCAAGTCCTTGGCAGTCAGTCAGTGAGTTAATCTCCTGTTTCCTCAGTTTCAGTTCTGAATGGCACTTGACTGCAAGACATTATGGATGATCATTGTTCATATGATTCATTCTCACTCCAGTTTGTCAAGTTTTCCAACATAGAAGAGGATACACCTTCCTATCATTTGCGCTATGACTTCTTTGTCTGCAAGTTTTCATCCATGTGTCATGATAACAATGATGACTTAAGTGCAAGAACCAAGATCCGTATGGCAGGGCTCAAGGGACTACAGGTAAAACCTGTGACAGGAACTCAACAATAACTGGCACATCCTACTAAGCTTTCAAATTCAGAAGCCATTTTGATATTTATTGAGACAGGGTGTGGTGAGGAAGACAGTGTCAGATGAGTTGGTTGAGAGTATTTGGGAGCCAGATCATATGAACAAGATTGTGCCTTCTCTGCTCTTCAACATGAGTGAAGGCTCTAGGTGAGATTTGAAACTCTTGTCACTGATATTGATATGGTTGCATAGCAAGAATCTTATTGTTAAGAAACATGAACAGGGATCTTATGCTGAAGAAAAGTCACATATTGTTGCAAGAAAGTATATAGGCAAGAGACAACTTAAAAGAGAAAGCTGTTAGATAGGTTTATCAAGCCATAAATTGTCAGGAAGCTTGTTGCCAAGAATTGTAAAGAGTTGAAGCATAAACTCAAATTCATGTACAGCAGAAACTTTTTGGCTACAATTACATTTCATGTAAAATGGAAATACTTTATTGGAAAGAAACAGTCCTTGGTGGTTGCACAGAAAATGTATTGATAAGAAAGTGGAAGAAAACACATGAAAACCATAAGGCTACTTTTTCACATGGAAAAAAGTAATTTCAAATAGAGATCCATATCAAGAAAACAGCCGGGGGGGTTCAGTATTTATGAATGCATTCTATAAACTAATACTGGAATAGCTCTATTATGCTCTTTTATTATAATATATTATGTATATTGATTTTCCAAGTTCTTTCTGACTTGAAACTTCAAAATCCAATAGTTCAGTTCAGTTCTGTTCAATAAGTAAAAATTCATGGCTTCACACTTGGGCAAAATCCATGACTGGTACAGGGATTGGTTTTTGGTCAACTGGAAAACATGTGGGGTGTCATGATTTCTTTGCTCCATATATCCCTAACCTATATGTTTTGATATATTTTTTTGTGGCATGGGCATTAAATCTGTGAAAATTTACACTAGACTTGCATGTTTTGCTATATGTGCAATTTCTTACTCAAATATGGTGTACTTCTTGTGCTCCTCCCTACTATGCAGGCTGGTCCAAAAAAAATGCTACATATAGAATATACAAGAGGAAGTCAGAAGAAGTGGTTTTTTATTCACAAAAACCCAACAATTTCAATTACATATGACTGGACAGTAAAAAGCAATTATGAAAACAATTCACTGATTGGAAAGATACCTGTAATTAACTGTTGATTAATAGTGAATGATATGTTCAATCCAGAGTCCTTCTTGCTCGATGACACCATCTTTTCGACTTGAGAAGTTGCTGATAACTCAATGGCATATTTCCTTTGAAATGTTTTGGATTGCAGTGATAATGTTTTCCTTTAGATCAGCAATGGTATCTGGGTGATTCTGATAGATGGTAGCTTTCAGGTATACCCACAGAATATAATCTTGTGGGGATGTATCAGGAGAATACAGGGGCCAAAAGTTTTCAGTATGGCAGGAGATCAGTCTGTCACGTGGGAAGTGTTCCCTCAGTGCATCTAAGGTGTTATTTGCAGTATGGGGTGGGGCACCATCTTGTTGAAAGATGACTGTCATCATATTTATCTTGGGCAGGAGCTCTTACAACATAAGGAGACACTTCTTGTCGATCAACTGCACATACCTCTCCCCCATTCACATCTTCAAAAAAGATTGGTAATTGGAGTCTTATCAGAATAACCCAGATACCATTGCTGATTTATAGGAAAACATCATAACTGCAATTCAAAACATTCTAAAGAAATGTGCCAGTGGGTGATCAACAACTTTTCAAGTTGAATAGATGATGTCATCAAACAAGGACACTGGATTGAACATATCATTCACTATTAATCAACAGTTAGTTACAGGTATCTTTCCAATCAGTGAATTGTTTTCATAATTGCCTTTGATTATCCAGTCATATGTAATTGATATTGTTGGGTTTTTGTGAACAAAAATCCTCTTTGTCTGACTTCCTCTTGTATTTTCTATATATAGCGGTTTTTTTTTGGACCACCCTGTATATGATTGAAGGCTACTTTTGCCTGTAAATTGTTTTAGCGGTCCATTGGAATTGCACACTTCTTCAGTACAACCTGATGGGAATCAAAGTGTATTACCTGGGGAAGAGAAGGAAGGTCAAGACCCAGCCTCCCTTGCAGACATCTGCTTGCGAGAACTGGTGGCCAGAGCACCTTATGGAAAACTGGATACTGTGATTCAAGCCATGCTTTTGTGAGTTTGTCCCTGAAGGTTAAATAGATCTGGAACACTCATATCTTGACCTGGAAAGAGTTGCATGGAACTGTTTTAATTTCCAGGCATCTGGACAACCATAAACAGTGGGATCCTAACAACTTTGCCATTAGTGTCATCCGACTTGTGCTCTTCTCAATTCAAGCAAAATATTCACAAACTGTGATGCAGATTCTCATGCGGCATCTTGACCTACACTCCAAAGAAGAAGTCCGATTACGAACTGGGATTGCAGATGTCATTGCTCAAACAATTACAATTGCTGCTGCTGAGAGTGTTGGTGAGTTTTTCAAAACATTATTTTCATCAGGGTGGTTGAAATATGTGTTAATCATTCCTTTGAATGGTTATAGGGCTGTCTCCTCTGGAAATCATCAATTCCCTCCTCATGCAATTGAGGTTGGCTGTTGATAGCAAGACAGAAGCATCTTCATCCACTGCTTCCCTTAGTGGAGCTGTCCATTCCACTGATGGCCCTAATCAGGTTTGTTAAAGCATTCACTGTGACATTTCATATATTTTTATTTGCACCTGCTGTGAAACATGGATAGTACCCTCTATTGACAGACAGTACTTGAGGAGAGATACCAAGCAACTCTGATCAATGCTCTTGGAGAATATGCCAATCATCTTCCAGACTACCAGAAGATTGAAATAATGAAGTTCGTGTTGGGGAAGGTTCCGAAGCATTCTCAGGGTCGGACAGACATCCTCTTGCAGAAGATAATGCTCAAGAGCATGCTGAAGGTCTTGTCTCTTTCTTTCTCAAATCATTCATTGCATAGAAAATTATATATAAAATCTTTTTAAAAATGTCTCTGCACTACTTTGGAAGCCTATATTTTGCCAGATATTTGGATCTTTTTAAAATTTAATTATTCATTGTGCAGACATAAAATTTTTTACTTATATCCATGCTTATCCTTTCTCATGCTGAAAATTTTTATTTTTCCTTTCTATAGGTTGGAACCACATATGTGACACACCAGTTCTCACAGACTTTCCAGATGAACTTGGTGGAGCCCTTGTTAGGTCTGTGCCGTGCACGTAACGCAGCAGTTCGACTTCTAGTCCAACAAATCCTTCACACACTCATTGATCGACATAATAATCTCCCAAAATTGGCTCATCCCAGGTATTGTACATCTGTGATGCATGTTATCATTACATCTGAATGTTGCATAGACCAGAGGCTGCCATTATTTTAGCAATCCAGGAGAGGTTGAAGTTTGGGTATTCCAAATGAAGTATATCCATTGCATGAAGTAAATATTTATTTTTAAAACTTCAAAATTTGGAAAGACCAAAAACTCTTTTATTTTCTAAAAGTAAACCAAAAAAGTATTTGTTAGTTCTCTTGCTAGGATTATCTAGGAAGGTCTCAGCATTCAGCACAGTCCTTTTTTTCTGAACTGTGTCCTGCAGCTTAAAGTTCATTGGGTTAGAAATGTATACTTTTCCTCTATATACCCCTCAAGAAAAATCACTTGGGTCAAATCTGAAGTCCAACCAGACCATTAAAAAATTTACAGGTCAGACTGATCTATTTTGGTTGTAGGGAATCCCCTATTCATCATTGCCATCTTGAGGCTTGCAATTTCTTGGCAAGCATTCATTTTAGTGCCATGTGCAATGTCTCTAGGCTGGACATTTAGTGCTCTAAATTGACATAAGTATTTATTATGGTGTGAATCATGCCCTTTCAGTATGTTGTTGGCATCTAGAGTGATGCAGCTTTTGGAGGATGTGTTTGGCATTGTCTTATACCAAAATGGGTGAATGTGGATGGCTACATTAGGCCATAAGTTAGATATGAAAATTTTTATGGTGGTAAGTATGAGCCTACTTCTTGAATCCTCTCCTATGCTGGCACCTCCTTAATACCCATTCTTTTGGAAAATACATGTGTCATTGCCCAATGTGAAAAACTGGATGTAGAGGACAGTAAAGGCAAAATTTTTTTGGATGGTAGGCATCAGGGATCACTCTTTTGTTACTATTTAGTCTTGTGGATTCATTTGGTCCACAAGCAAAAAGAGCTACTATATACAAATCAGAATTTTCCAAATTAATCTGCTTTCTTCCAGTTTGAACCCAGCTGATCTGGACCTGGAGTATGACCAGTGCACATCAGCTGACATACAATTCTTCAAGCGACGGGGAGCTGACATCTTTGTTGCTTTGTATGGGAGTTTGTTTATGGATGGGAATACAGAAGAGAATATCCTTGGAATGACTACCACCCTTTCCTTGCTCTGCATTGAGATGAATCATCCTGAGGTCATTGTGGAGATGCTCCGCCTTATCTTCAGTGTCCAGGTTGGCATCAAGAGTGCTGCCTTCATCCATGGCCTCAGGAAGGCTTCAGATTACTCTTTTTTTTTTTTATCCAATAGGATTCAGCCCTGACAAGTGAAGCCCTGACAACAGCTCGCAAGTTCAACCTGCATGGAATGAATGCAAGTCTGATGAGCCTGCTTGCTTTGCTAGCCAAGTACCCAGCATTCTCTGAACATGTCCAACTGGTGCGATCAAATTCATGCCACTTTCTCACTATTCACAGCTGGAGGATCATACTTGTAGCCTTTCTTTAGGTGATAGCAAAGCGTCTGGAGAATGCTCCTCATCTTCTGTCTCCAATCAGAGAACGCTATGCTGGCAATCTTTCCCCTGATGACATTCCTGAAGAGCTTTTGTTTTCTCGGGATACAGTTGAGGAAGCGCTGAAGGTTCTGTCTGCTCTCTCTTTTCTTGCTTTTTTTACTGCTCTATCAAATACTGCATTGTCTTTACTCACATTGTACTTTTGGTGCTGGAACATAGGAAGCAGGACTTGATGGAGCTCGCATCAATGTGCCTTATGCCAATCCAACAAATGGATTTGGAAGTCTTCAATCACAGCAGCCTGGTAGCAACTCTGATATAAATTCAATTGCTTTGGAGGTGGAAAGCATCTCTTCCTCTCCAGGACTATTTCCCTTTGTGAGAGACATTTCCTTGCATGTAAAGAAATTTGAGTTTTGGTGATACCACATTTGAAATATCTCCTCTGCGGTTGATGTTAAGAGAGGAGGGCCAGAGGAGCAGGTGACATTTGATTCCTTGAAACGACTCCTGAGTGAGCCACCTGAGAAGACAGAAGAGGAGGAGGCAGATAGGAACAAGCGTATTGCTGAGATGTTTCAGACCTCCACATTTAAGGAAATGCTTGCCAGGCAGCCCTCTGTGAGTTCCATTTGATATTTACTTGATTTTTTATAACAATAATTTGTGAATGCCTTTTTTCTCCTTTTTTTAAATATTTATTTGGAGCAGACAGACAATCTGCAAGAGAAGTTGACTGAGATCTTCACTCGGCTGACCCGCATTAGTGGTGATTTTGAGTCTTTATCTATTTCTTCTGGAGACCCATTGAAGATGCAAACATTCTCAGCCAGCACACAAGACATTCAGTTCCCTGATCTCTTTGTCAGTTAGGAGTGCAGGCTTTGCCCATGGTCTGAGGTCAGTCTTAAGAGTACAAATCAGTCCTATTTTGAATAGGACCAGTGCCTTAGTAGTATAGCATTCCAAAACAAAAAAAAAACCTGAGCAATGGAGACAAGGAAGGGAGAATACATTTGCCTGCACAGATCATGATCCCAAAGTCTGTCTGGCCCTTCCATGATTCCCATCTGTCCCATCTCCCATCCCATCCCACCTTGTGCTGTCTCTTTCCCTTTCCTGTTATGTCATAAACACAGTGAATGATAGGATAGAAAATGGAAAATGAAACCATTATTCAATGATGAGGCAGCATATAAGCTGCAACCTCCAGAATTGAGGTGTTGATCTCAACTTCATGGACTATATATTTGAGATATCTGAGCCACATCACTTATGTCTGTAATGCTACCATTGAGTCAAATCTAGGAGATGGCATGTAAAAGGACTTAAAAAGCTTTGATGAAAGGAGAAAGATTAGGAGGACTATGTACAGCTTCATTTTGAAAATGGCTTATGATTCAGAGTAATTTTCATTGTCTCAGGATAGTATACCCCATCATTCAGTTTTTCTTTGGAATTCTATATTAACCACGTGCAACCCTGTATATCCAGAGTCAGTCACATGAATTTGAAGCTGTGAGTATGCAATAAAATTACAGACAAATGAAAAAATATAAAATATTCAATGAAAGATTGAGAAATTTACATCTACTCCTATAACTTTGTCCAATACCAAGCCCAAAATGTCCTAATGTTAGTTTTATAATATACATGCAGCATACACTGTTTCCGAATTAAATTCATACCCCCTATAGGAATACTTCCATCGATTGCAGGTATCAGGATCTTTCACACAGGTGGTTTTATCTATCACCTATTGAGGTGGAACTTTTGGAAGTGTGTATTTTCTCCATTCTCCACCATAAGGAGGTGGTACAAATTCAATCCAGAAACAATGTAAGATAGTGCTGGTACTCTTTTTACTGCCCACTTGAGCTTCTAATGCAAAAAAAGTCCCCCCCCCCCTCCCCCCAATTTATTTTCCTAGTCTATTTAGCTATCTTTCATATAATCTTTGCAGAGCCAGGCATTACATCTAGTGTTCAAGTAAAAGAGATTTTCTGACATTTGCCTGAATTAGTTATCGTGGAATCCTGAGTCAGTTATGAAATATGGTTGGACAATTTCTAAATACCATTAGCCTATGTTCCAAGCCTTGTTGCAGACTGCTAAGCTGAAGGTTCTGTGGTGTTATGAACACCAAACCATGAAGTGGTCTTTGCTTGCTTCCATTTTTTGTTTTTATATCTCTGTAATTGTGTGAATGATTTTGATTCACTTCATGTTTTTATATATTTCCAAGTACATGTCCTATGGAGTGGCTGGAAAATCATTCATGTCACAGAGCAGAGGCAGTCAGAATTTCATTTTTATTTATCATGTTGAAACAGAAGTCAATTGCTACTACAGTCTCATGGCTGTGTCTCTCTTCTGCAGATCCATTGTTTTATTTGGGTGATAGGTTTTTGTCACTTCTCTTCTGTGGCTTGCATTTCAGGACTTGAAGCAATTTATTCAGAAGCAAATTGACAAATATTTTTATAGTTTTGCAAATTCATCCTTTCAATCTATTGTTGCATCTGTCTTGCCATTTGAATTCACTATTTATCATGAAATGCCTTGCCTCACCTGACTTTTCTGGGATGAAACTGAACATTGCATGACAGAAGAAATCAGAAGTTACTAGGGCAGTGATATTCTTTGTTAGTCTTTCAGGAATGATAGTGCCAAGTACCATTACAGCTGACGTTGAATCTGTTTCCCTGTTGCTACAGTCCAAGGGGAGGAGGTGTGGGTTCATTGAGTGCTGAATAACTCTGAGATCTGTCAGCTCTTCACCTTCATTTAATCTATGCTTTAAAAGACATCATTTTAAGAAGAAAGGTATGCTGTTGACCAATTTGGCCTCTAGTAATTGGGATTGTATCTTCAGGAGGCAGCTCTCAAGAGGCCTAGTTGTTTCAGTTCAACTAATGAAAAAATTGGTATTAACTCTTCTGTGGGCTAATTTTCACTTATATTTCTAGTGTGGGAAAGGTTGAATGTTTTCAGGGAAGTATACTTTCCACTGTCCATGAAAGGGTAAATTTAAAAATGGAAATGTCATATTGCAGACATGGCAGGCCTACACTTGTTCATACTTGATTGACAGGAGTAGACCTTACCTTTGGCAATACTGAATAAGGGTTTTCAAGTTAGTAGGATGCTTGTTCTGATGCGTAGTGCTCCAGTGAATAATTGTTTCCATTTCTCACATCTTTCTCAAAATACCTATTAAAGGTTGTAGGTTTCATATCTGTCATCTCTTGGAACTGACAGATCTTGCCACACATTCATGTTGTGGCCATGAGAAAAACCTCAAATGTTTTTCAGGTGATGGCATTGTTGACATTCCTTGTTGTGATATTTTCCATGCAACCAATTGTCTTGCTTCTGTATTCAAATAAACCCATGTTTCTAGAGTGACTTGTAAACTTGTTCCTTCATCCTCATCACTGCGTAATTGATCAAAGAACTCTGCAGTGTTCACATAATTCAAAACCTTTTATTTTTAAAAATAAAAAGGTCATATAGAAAACCTAAACATATAATCTGTGAAGTTGATCACATGCTGAGATCCTGAAATGATGTTTCCAGTTACAATTTCATGCATGAAATTTGTATAAGAAGAGTGATTTCCCTGTGAGAGCAGTCAAAAAGGCTTCTTGCTGGCTAAGCCAGTTGTAAGACAAGTCCAGAACAGGATCAGGTGAATGAATCTGGGAAACTAGCATAGAAGAGTTCACATCCCAGGTAGAGGTGGTCTTGGCTACATCATCACTCACAGAAATCATGAGTCTCTCACCAATTTCTCCAACTGTCTTATAGATGGTAGACCGAGATAAGACATTTTGTGATGTAGCACCTTTGAAGATTTGGACTGGCTTCACGATATTGGACAAATCATTTGAATCAGATATTTTGCATATTGTGTGACGTGAGTGGGCATGTCTGGATGATGGACGTGAAGAAATGAGCACAGAATCATCTGCAACTGACACAGAGTTAAATGGTCCATCCAGCACTACAGGATACCCATGCCATTCCCCTTGATAAGCATGGTATGATACGGAATTCAGCTGAGCAACCACTAGACCTGGTGTGTATGTTAAGGGTGGGGTGTTGTGAACAAAAGCCATTTGCACTACAGGTTGAGAGTTGAAGAAAGTCAGCTGTGAAATTGGTACATGGGGCTGGCGAACATCAAATTGTTCCACCACTCCACGTTGAGATCCAATGAAGAATTCGTGAGGGGAGGTCTCACTCCAGCACCCACACCAAAGAGGCCCTGATGCCTCATATACATGAACCAAAGTATTTCCCTGAACCTGAGTCAAGCGGCATGTCTTGTCTAGGGAAACACTCAGGACCAAGTCCTGTTGATGAGGACTGAAAGCCAGATCCCTGATTTCTTTTTTATGTAGAAGGATGCTGTCATAGACCCTCTGCTGGTACATGCATACCTTACGAATTCCAAAACCCATGGCCACAGGGTGGGAGATGATACACATTCCATTCAATGACTGACGGAAATGCATTACGCGACACCCTCCAAGAGCTGATATCTCTAGTTTTTTAACCAGTTCTAGCTTGATGTTACTCCCCACAAAAATGTTGGTATTATCTAGGCCTAGCATGCATTCAGCATGCCTTTTAAGGTCACCATCATTCATTAGAACCTCTTTGGAATGAATCCTCTCCATTTGGCGGAGTCGAGAGAGTTTCTCATTCTGCTCCCTCAACTTCTGACGCAAATGAGCATTTTCTTTCTGGAGTGTGTTGCACAGCAATCTTGTATGAGTGTGCTCTAGTTCCAGTTTGCGTTTCTCTTCTTGCACCTTTTCCAGTTGTTCTAGAGCTCTGTCCCGCTCTGCTGTGTCAATGGCTTTCAATGAAGTCACATATATCACTCTCAAATCTTTCAGCTTGGCATGAGAATTGCATGAAGGGCAACGCTGTCCTGTTCCTCTAAGCCAACGTTCTACACAGCGCTGACCAAATACATGTCCACATTTCAAGGACACCAATCGATGTGCTCCAGAATTGGTATAACCTTCATAACAGATTGGACAGGCTGTGACATCCTCTTGTTCTGGTGACTCTGGAGACACCACAGCACTTCTTGAACCTGTAATGAAACGAGTCAATCACTTGAAAAGATAAAAGCAGGTCTCACAAGAAACAGAAGGGATCATTTGGGAACTAGTCATGCTCACGTTTAAGTGGAGGTGTTCTGCACACATAATTTGCCTGCGCTTCACTCCCCTGAGTACGATTAAGCCCTGGATCCATTCTGTCAATTGGTCCATCTTGATCTATGTATGGGATTCCTTGAGTTCTCCTTAGTTCTATTACTGGTGAAGATGCAACCCCTTGACTTCCCAACACATTTATCCCAGATGCAACATCATCCTCTCCTCTCCCTGTATTTGCCTCAGGTTGAGTCTCTTCCTATATCAGCAATTGAATTGCAAATAAGGTATCCATCCAATATAGAACATATACGAGGGGAGGTCAAAAAGTTCTGAGACCAAGGCACTTCCAGTTGCAATACACCATTCTTACTTTTATCATGGGAAGACAGGTGTCTTTGACAGTAACAGGCGAAATTTCATCTTATTTGTTGATTAAGGATAGCTTCTATGGAATTTTTCCAATGTGCTACCAGGGGGTCTGGTGAAGGGGTATTAAAATGGAGACAAATGCTGTGAGGAATTTTCTAACCTCTAAGGAGTAGATCTTTCAGAGACTGAGAGTATAGAGTCTCATTGATCCTCCTCTAAAAGATCTGCAGCTCCTTAGAGGTTAGAAAATTCCTCACAGCATTTGTCTCCATTTTAATACCCCTTCACCAGACACTTTGGTAGCATATTGAAAAAAATTCATAGAAGCTATCCTTAATCAACAAATAAGATGAAATTTCGCCTATTACCATTAAAGACACCTGTCTTCCCATAATAAAAGTAAGAATGGTGTATTGCAATTGGAAGTGCCTCGGTCTCAGAACTTTTTGACCTCCCCTTGTAGCATGTAACCATTCTAGCGGTACTTTCAATGTGCATTTGCAGATTCAAATTCAAATTCCCTTTTTTATTTCCTTTGCCATCATGAAGAACAAGGTAAGGAAAAGGAACTCAAGATACAAACAGCAAAAACAAGAAATACAAAAGTACAGGTAGGATATAAAAAAAAAAAGGAAACTGAAAGAATCACACTACATGAAGGCACTATTTCAAGAATTCACATATCACTGCATATGTGTGCAAAAGTGTCTAGGAAAAGGAAATAAATTTTACCAAGTTTCATCATATATGGGTGTTACTGCCATGAGTAACCTGTTTATGAGATGCAGAAATTGGTCACTAAAAATATGCAGGGGGATGCTGGAATTTTAGTGGACAATTTTATGCATGATAAGACTCTTACTCTTGAATCTGCTTTTGTCCATTCACATATATCTTTAAAACTTTGAGATTCGTATCATTAGGTTCCCTAGGTTTTCTCGTTATTTTCTGTTGGTTTTATTTGGAATTAAAAAATCCAAAACGTTCACAATGAAATACTTAACTGGCAAGATGTTCTATTGTCTAACATTTCTATTACTAGGCCTATTCTTTCTGCTAGGTCTAGAAATGGCATCCAATCAAAGTAATCGGAACATTAGTTTTGGCAAATTTTCGTTGGCTAAGCTAGCCTAGTTTTAAAAGATTTTCGCAATGACAATTTATGGAAAGTGAAAATGCGACTTCAAATCAACATACACTACGGACAGAACAGCATATGACACTAGACAAAAACCTGGGCCTACCCCACCTGTAGCGTAGGTTGCGGTTGCTGGGAGGCCTCAGGATTCCCAAGTCTTACATTGCTTTCTTCAATGTCGTCCAGTAGGCTGGGCAACAATGCCCCACCGCTCGATTCCTCTTCATCCATGGACTGAAAGGTGCGAAATCATACGAGAGTTGAGGGCCAGTAAGGCCCACTGAGATGATAAGGCCCTGTACTAGTTTCTTGAACCTCTTCCAGTCAACTCCATCCTTGGTAATCACCGCCAACATGTAAGTGCTGTTATAACGTTAACATGAAACCTCTCTTGGTATCAGCGGACAGCACATGTTATCAGCAATAATGTCCTTATTGTTTATCGTTCCTTGCAAGTTTCCTGAAACATGAATCATGCTAGAATTAATGCCTTAGCTTTGAGACATTTGTTGAATTTCTGTAGTCTTGAAAAGCAGCACTGGTAAACAGTATTCTTTGATGGCGGCGTAGGGCGTCCCATGTGGTCATTGAAAACCTTTAACAGCTGTCAGTGCGTCCGTAAGCTGTGCTTTAGGGTCAACTGGATATGTAGAATGATTTTCGAGGGATCCTGTATATGAAAAATGAGATTAGACCTGCCATCATGTGTAGCCCTGTGTTCTATCTGGGCTGTTGTGAGGTGCACGCACTCCCTCAAAGGCCAGGTGTCAGCCCCCGCATCTTCTGATTCGGTCGTCTCCGAAAAGCATTCGGAAGAAGAGGAGGGTCCCAGCGGCCTTCAGCATCTCCACGAGGGTGTGTATCTCAGTTCGTTCGTCAGGGACGAAGAGGCACGAGCCCAAGAACAGAATGGGAAGCATCCATTCAGCAGAAATCGTGAGCGACCTTCTCGTGGAAAGAAAAAGAAACGTATTCCAATGGAAGGTAGTTGGGAAGAACCAATGAAACGTGGGGAACATCAGACAACTCCTCCTCCCAAAAAGAGATTTATTGGTGAGGTTGATTCCAGCACCTTTCTACATTCAGAAATTGAAGACAGTCCAGTTTTGAACACAGAACAAACAGAGAGGAAAGTGGGATCCAAGAAGCCTTTCAGTTCACGATCACCAAAGAAGCCAGCTAGACCCAATATTATTCTCCTCATCACCGATGATCAAGATGTTGAATTAGGTGAGTTTTTTTGTTGATTTAGTCCAAATATAATGTATTCTGTCACATGGGTAATCCAGGGTGTTGTGCAGAGCATTTAAATGAATAAATATTATCGTTATTCATCTTCAACAAGTCACATGATGTCCCTCTGCATTAAAAATGCATGGTGAAGATGATTTATTGCTCTCTTTCTGTAAAATGGCACCTTTTTTTATTATTATGAGTAGACTAGGGTGACCAGATGTCCCAGTTTTACTGGGACAGTCCAGGTTTTTCAGGTTATATCCAGTTTGAATTTTCCTTTCCATCCTGGTGTCCTGCTTTTTCCCCATTGATGGGACTATTATTCCAGCATTTTCTTGCAAATGTCCTGGTTTTTCCTTAAATAAATCTGGTCACCCCAGGGTAGTCACAGCTGGACAATTCTTGACCTAAGCTGCATGATAAGTACACCTGTCTGTGGCAGTGAATTTGTAAGTATCATTGACAAAGAGACAAAAACTTTTAACTTTTGCAGTGGCATGATTGTAGGATTTGTGCTCATAACTGCCAAATGTTACACATAGATAGCCCCTCCCCCTTTCACAGCCTAAACTATAAGAGCTAGGAAAAAACATACATATGAGAAAGAGCATTCATTGTTTAATCTAAACATGTACTTCTAGTGATTTGTGTGCACCTTTGCTGTGTCTCTGACAGCTTTAAGATGAAAAAATCGAAAGATAAAAAGAGATGCCTAATGAGTTCTGTGTCATCTTCCTTGTCCTTCAACACTCTGGGTGTTGCTTTTCAACACTTCTTGGGAGAATCCTTGCTGCTTGCCCTCCATATGCATGAGAGTCTCAACTCTTTCAGGATGACTCAAATGTTCTCAGCGACATTCAGATCAGGAGAGTTTCCCAGCAATTCTGCATTTCCAAAGAAATTGAACCCTGAGTCTTTCAGCATTTGCTGTGTGGTCAAAGCTTTGGAAAATAGGGCTCTATCTGATAGAAGCTGAAGGTTTAATCTTTTTCTAAACCCATGAACTGGTAAAAAAATTAAGTTCTGGCATCACAGGCTTTTTGAAACATAATAGCAGAGATGTGATCGATGAATTTAAGTTCTTCACAATCATATGACATCAGAAACAACAAAATGGGATTGAATTGTATCAAAATTGGACAAGGATTCCAAATATATGTAAACAATTTTTCTAGCTCCTATAGTTTAGACCATAGAGGGGGGAGGGCTATCTATGTGCAAGACCTGGTAGTAGGACTAACTTATTTTTACTGCCTTTTTCCTCAGGTTCTATGAACTTTATGCCAAAGACACTTCGCTTGCTGAAGGATGAAGGTGCAACTTTTTCAAATGCTTATGTAAGTACCCCAATGTGTTGCCCATCAAGGAGTTCATTGCTGACTGGTCTCTATGTCCACAATCATGGAGTCTATACCAACAACGAAAACTGTTCCTCAGCTGAGTGGCGAAGAGATCATGAGCCCAGGTCTTTTGCCCCATATTTGGCACAAGCAGGATATCGGACAGGTCAGTTTTATAGTTAGCACATTGTTTCTTTTGTGCAAAACTCCAAATGCACAAATACACCTTTTTATATGATTAAATGCTTGCTACTTTTGGATAATTTGCAAAAGTGAGACCTTCATGACAACTAGTATGTAATTGTCATCATACATATTTAGACACTCATGTCAGATTAACAAGGGAAAGGAGTAGGAATTCATACAATAATAAAAGAGGCATGTGGGCTCCATGTGTCCATCACATGTGGATGCCTGGAGCCTACTAAAGAGTTGGTTTTTTTTTCTTTCTCTCTATTTCTATGTAATTATTCCAAAGTTCATGTTGACTTTTCCATTCTACAGAATATTCCCTTGCAAGCATACAAGAGGCACTTGATCTCTGTCCAGCGGCATGTGATGGCTGTCATATGTACAGGGTGATTTTTAAAGCAGTTCCTAGTTCCTAGTTTCCAATCCATATAATTTTTTTTTGCAATAACATTTCAGTCACCAAATTTGCACAGAATATAAAGAAGGCATGGGAGATTTGTGTGGGTTCAAAAACATGAATGAATCATGGGAAAACACTCTATATGGCAGTGCTGAAGCAGTTTTGTGTCCTTCACAGAGGAGCAGAAATTATTCCTTGTGAAATGGTACTTCAAGCATAACAAATCACCTGTAAGTGTGCAAAGAAAGTATTGATGGCACTTTCAGACTAGGAATGCACCATCCAACAAGACTAATACCAGACTTCTTAAGCAGTTTGAATCGAAAGGCGATGTCAGGGACCATCGAAAGGGCCATTCCAAGCATCCCATCAAAGTGCTGATACCTTACAAAATATCGCTTTCACCTGACAAATGTTAATCCTCAAAACCCGGAAAGAGTGTCCAACGAGCTTCACAATGACTTGATATTTCATATTCAACAACATGGACAATTTTCTGTACCAGTATTTCTACATATCCATACAAAATCCAGATGCACCAACAGGCAACAGAAATTAACATGTTTTCTATTTGCACTAAGGCAACCTTCCCTTCTTATTCCCGATTATTCTCTTCATTTGGCACCATATGATTAATGAAAATGGAGGTCACATTGGACATGTCATGTTCTGATCAATAAGCCCACATGAATTTCCCATGTCTTCCACATTTTCTGTGTAAATTTGGCAACTGCAATGTCATTATCATAAAAACTATGTGAACAGGAAACTAGGAACTGTTTTAAAAATCACCCTGTAGATGCAGGAAGAGAATACCCATATTAGAGAAATGTGTTAGAATGAAGGCATGAAGGGAATGTGATTAGCTAGTGGGAACTCACAAATGAATACATTGTCATATTGTCAGAGGTGAATTCATGTGAGGAAATATGATAGAGGATGGAGTCTGCTGTGGGCAGAGATTTTGGCAAAAAATGAGCAGAGGGGAAGGACTCACTTAGAAGATTGAGCTAAGTCAAAGAGATGACGAGGACTGAAACCATGAGCAAGCTTGTTACCAGTAGAGGGAGCCTGAGCCCCCCAAAAATATTGACTCCAAACCCCCATGCCAATTTTTATTCTTCTAGATTTCATGCATTTATATAATTATATTGACTTCAAAGGAGGTATTATTTTTCTCATTTTCATGAAAACTTTGAATTTTATTTTAATTCTGCAATATATGTTTCTTGTATCTTTAAATTATGCCTTATGCTTTCATATGTTATTGAAATACAGTGTTGGGAAGTATTGGAAAGACAAACATTTTTAATATGCATTTTAAGAACATCTCACTCTTTATTTTACAGTCATAATAATAAGTACAGTGAAAACTCGTTAACTCGAACTTTTAGGGACCGGGCAAATCGTTTCGAGTTATCCGAAGTTCGAGTTAT